GCAGCCTGTTGTTGGGAGTGTTATTAATTATTATCAATCTCCTAACCAGTACACTACTGCCAACAATAATAATAATTCATGTACGTCAACTGTAATTTCAAGTGATTATACTGCAGTTAGTACTAATGAACATTTTGAGATATTGAACAATAATTCATGTTGTTCAGTTGGAGTTGTACATGAGGGATATTTTCTTGAACAGCAGTTCAATGCAGTTAGTGATTGCAAATCATTTTATGCAACAGCAAATAATCATAAAACATCACAGTATCTCTCTAAATTTGTTGAGCATGCATCCCAAAATGAAATTACACCCTTTGAAATAATTGGTGATAATCTTGATTTAACAATTAATCCTACTTATATGACATCCATTAATCAACGTAAAAGCATACACTGGTTCTTAAATGTTGGAATCAAAAAGAGAGTCTTGGGAAACCACCTTCGTGATGACAAGGCAAAAAATGATATATTGAAAGTGCCATGCTCTTATTTCTTGCCAACTATTGATGAAGTTAATGGATTACATCAAAGTTTTGTATATCACATTGTAAAAATAATGGTGAAGTATACTGGTTTTCTTAAATGCATAGCTGATTCTGTACCCAACTGTATTCCGCATCCGTATCTGAGAGAAACGTCGAGGAAGTCTGATTTTTTGATTTGTGATTTAATTGATAAAAGTGAAAATGACAGTGATGGGATAATACATATATTGCAACAAGTACATGATAAGTATGTACCACATACCAAGGGTAATAATCCCCAAACCATCAGCAAGTTGGTGTTTGGGGGAGATGTTTTAACTAATGAAAGAGCTTACAAAGCACAGAGTGCCATGTTAAATGGTGAAACTGATTTTGAGAGCCTTGGAGGGATTATTCACCGACCTGAGGGGTTACACAGGATAATGAACTCAACTAGGGTACCCATAGTAATTTTATAGTTCAGTTTTATGCATGCAGCTAAGAAAGTAAAGGTTTAGACTTAACACAGCTAAGCAAATATATTTAGTAAATCACTTGTTTAATAATATTCCTTGAATGTTTTGTTTTTTCTTTTCATTTATTCAGTTTTAATACTAAACAATGTCCATAGTGTTTTACTTCTGACTTGTTGACTATGTGTGAAGCAACTACCCTGTCAGTCTGACCCTCCCACTGATATCTAAAGAACCACTCATCGGACTTCAATGAAACTTGTTACATATGATAGCTCTTTGATTATTCATAGAGTACTTAGTTTGGGGTTGAAATCCATACATATTAATGCATCGCTGATTCGGTACCCAACTGTACATGACAGACTTTGTTAATTTCTCACACAAAGCGTATTTTTTGTAATTACTATTTTAGCAGTTGGTTTCTGTTATAACCCACAAATAAGAACCATTTTGTCACATTTTTAATCCTTGATGGTACTTATTTTGGATAAAATTAATATATTTTGACTCTTAGCAGAGAAACACAAATATAACACAAATTGATATTCAATGGCTCTTATTTGGGGGTGGAAGCCTGTAAAAGTTTGTTCCTTTGTAAATTATACAGGCATGCATACATAATCTTAGACTATCATTGTGTTGAAAAGATGTATTTCCCGTGTTATTGCAATCCATGTCATTGTGAAATTTGTCTTAAAACATAACATATTTTCTCTGTTAGAAGCGCATAACCAATGGAAGTGCGCATAAACCAAAGATTTTATTTAACATGTAGAACAGATTAAAAAATTACTTATTTTGACCATAGATGCTCACTTGTCATTTGCATTAGCGCATGTTACTAATAGAGCAAATACAGTGATGTGAGCATAGAATATTGGAACTATAGTGTTTTACAATGAATTTAAAAAAGTATTTTTTCTATTTCTCCAGCTGATTTACCAAATATTTTACAAAGAAAAGAGTGCCAATGATAGGGGTACATTGTACCAGCTGAGAAGCTCAATCAATAGAAGAGACGTCAGTGGAGCCGATGGTGTTACCAAGGCATTCAGGTTTGTATTGCAGTTCATCTAAAAACTAGTGCTAATGGCCCTTGTTCGGCCATCTTGAATGAATTGGATCATGAAACAAATGCATGTGCATGTGCATACGTATGATATGATGTCATTGTGTGTGTAAATTTTGAATCTTTTCGGCTCAGGCATGTCCAGGTGCGTTCAGATGGATGCACAAAGTCCTCGCTTTCGGCCTATGTACAAACAGGGACTAATGAAAAAATAATAAATTTTATACATGTAATTGTAATGCATAATATCTTTTGTAGGTCACATCATGCATTTATCGAGGACAGTCTTGATGCTCACATCTTGGCTGCAACAATGGAACATTTTGGTTTATCAGTGTTAGATGACATACCCAAGCAGAACATTCCTCCACACGATGTGTCTACAATGACAAAACAGCAACAAGTAGACTGGATTAATGAGCATGCTGGCATGATACTGAAACGTTATGTGATACTTGACAACAATACAGTGGGTGATATCCGAAACTCCGTTTCACACTTAGATGTGCTTGAGCAGCTAATTTCAAACATGAAATTAAATGATGGCCGATACAAATGTACTGTTGGGAGAGAGCTATGTGGCAAAGTCTACAAACAAATTGGACGATTTAGAAATCATTTAAAGTCATGTCATGGCTGGCTATTCATGCAAACTAATGTTTCACATCAAGCTGCAGAGCAAGATGAGGGATATTTAATGAAAGGTTCCTTTATGAAATGTGCTTTACTTGTTCGTGACACGTATGATGCTTACAAAATGTGTGATGGTGAACGTGTTTTTCGAAACGCTAAGTTTGACATTTTATTGGACGATGTAACTGGTCACACTAAGTATCATTTATGGCTTTGGAGAATGCTCGCATATGAGCATGCCATTTTAACACCGAGGCAAGCATTTGAGTATAAATGGAATGTATCTAGTAATTTATCTGGTGGTCTTTGCAAAAATATTCCCAATGACAATGTTGTGGAAATCCAAGTCCATACTATAAAGTCACTGCTTAGGTCACAAGGAGCTAATGTGACTTTTCAGTCTGCTCAACTTGCTGCTAAATCTGTGCAAGTTGTAGATGGTATCAGAGCTAACTTTGTTAAACAGTCTAAGGCAAAAACATCATCGCGGAAAAGACCTGATGCTAATAAAGAAAGTGATATCATGAAAATGGTAGTTGAATTGAGAGATGCAAAGATGTTCACATTTTGTCCGGGGAGACAACTTGATGCTTTCCCAAATTTCAAAGATCCCATTGATAAAATTGACTTTTTGAAATATCATAAGTGGGTATGTGAGCAAAAAATTAGGGCAGCGAAGGAGCTTGTCTACTAAGTTAGCTAGTCAAATGAAGACAAAGCTCAACAAAACGGGGTACATAGACTGTATACTACATGCAATGTTGCTAAGCACTTATCATATAAGGTGAAAGATTGAACTGTTGTATTCAAAGGGTTGTTATTGTCTGTCATATTGCATAGTATCCATACAGGTTTCATAAAAGGGGGTGGGGTGATGTACAACAATGTAATTAACTAATTTGCATAGGAACAAATTAGAATAGACTAACACCTGTCATTTAGTTGCATAATATAGCAAATACTATTATTTATATTGTGTGGAGAATTATTTTAAACAACAGTCCTCACTCTTATGGTGGTATTCCTGTGATGCACCTCGCATGTATGTAAAACATTCTCATCGCCATCGCTTATTTTCGCTGATGGAAATGCAAGCTGCTAAATTTTCACACTACAAAATTTTAAAGCAATTTGTTAACTTGCACTGAAGGAATGTCATTTGAAGCATGGAGTGAACCATACTACCGTATTCATCCTATTATATGTGTATCTCCAATAGAAGTGCATGTAAACCAACATTTGCATTTATTATATACCGGATTAATAAAATACAACTCGTTTTAACCGTAGACACATGTCTGCTAATTACATAAGCACATGTGTTATTAATAGAGCAAATACTGCCATGTACTGCTCATTTGAGATGCATCTTAAGAAGACCACAGTGCACATGGGAAGGATGGGGGTTACTTCCGCCGCACATAGCTTTCGGACACCATTGTAACGTGTTGACAAGCAAAATAGCTTCTCAGTAAACAATGTAGCTTTCACAACAGCCACGTCTTTGCATACTGTTTTGAAAGCTACATTGCTACCTGACAAGCAAATTTGCTTGTCAACGTGCTACATTGGTGTCCGAAAGCTACGTGTGGCAGTAGTAATAGTAATGATAACAAAGATATTGTTCTGTAATAATCTGCACACATAAACTGAAACCTTGCAGCATTAATGAAGTCAACACTATTACATGTGTGTTATGGCAGTTACTAAATACAGTCCTTCAAAATGTTACAGATACATTTTTGGTTTTCTATCTGGAATGCTTAAAATAAGAATAGCACATCATTGCGTCTAGTGCACAACTTCAATCTTCATACAAAAATATGCTTAATCATGTGAACATATTGTATTTGCTTTATTAGTATTCTGTGTACGTTGCCATATTTGAAATGTATCTTTAAAAAAAGGTTCATGAAAACAAACCTTCCTTATTTTTACAGGATTTAAAATTCCCCAAACTCGCTGTAATTTGTTAATTCCAAAATTTTAAGCATAGCTTTTTACCCAAGTATGCATTATGATATGCTCCTTCAAAATACACCTTTTCTGGATACAGACATGTACACTGTGGATATGTATAGAAATAAAGTGTATACCAGGTACGTTATTCTCATTTTTGTAAAAATGTGTGTTATTTCATCTGGGAGAGAACTAGGTCAGAGAAATGCCTTATTTCCTCCAATAGAAGTGCACATAAACAAAAAATATAGCATTTATTGTGATGAATTATTAAAGTATTATTTTTTCATACTGTATTTACTCTATTAAAACGCATATAAACCAAAAAATGCATTTATTTTGACCATAATAACATGTGCTACTAATAGAGCAAATACGGTACCCTGACACTTAGCATTACACAAGTGCACACTGGTTATTGAGCAAATATGGTATTGCATAGATTTTGCACTTTGCTGCTCTATCAAATTTTGTATGTTTTTGTTCTTTCATCGGCTTTTTCTCTAAAATATTCACCCCTGCTGTGTTGCCTTTTACAGAAATCATTGGTCCCGTGGCCTTATATTTTTGGCTTTCATGTGCAAAGCACAATGTGAGCCTTTGCACAGTGTCAATAGCAGAAATATCAGTCATCTTGATCAATATACATTTCATCATCATCATGACATAAATCTGAAAATATTATGTCAAATATTTCAATAACATGGGTTGCCTGCTGAAAGGTCCACACATTACACATTGACATCAAATCATCAGTTGTAAATATTTTGTCACAATTGTCAATGATTTGATTAATCAAAGATTTAGTAAAGCCATGAGTGAGCTCAGCTAATATGAATATATTTTCAGTATCACCAAGTGATTCTTTATATTGCTCTAATGCAGCGTGCAAAGATGTAACCTGACTGATACTAACTGTCCGTTTATTGACTATATCACCCAAGCTTTCATCATCAGAATCTGTGTTTACAGAACGTGCTGGATGCTTAAAGGTTTTGCACTGTGGAACTTCACAATCGCACAGTGCTATACACTCATCACAACAAAGGTGTAATGGTTTAGTGTATAAAGTAGGTACATCTGAATAAAATCCACATAAAACAGTTCGCCGACATTTTTCACTGTTACGAACATAGACAAGCATGTCAGGATCAACATTTCGTAGTTGTTGTTTACTATATATCAGTATGTGGAGTGACTGTGAACCATCTCTACCAGCACGGCCAAGCTGTTGAATAAAAGTATCCAGTTCTTGAGGTGGTCCATAATTGACAACACTACTGACACCTTTGAAATCAACGCCCATACCAGCAGCATTTGTACAGATTAGAATCCGTAATGTTCCATTTCTGTCATTCATGTTCAATCGAATCTTTTCTTTAACACGTTCAACAGTACAGGAGTGGTACATATTGAATAAAGGATCTCCATTTGAAGCATGATACATTGAAAGTTCACTTTTAAAAACACTGTAAAGTTTGGCTGTATCCATGATGGACTTACAGAAAATAATTGTACGCGTACACTTTTTTCTCTGAGATTTAGCTTCAGTAATCAACCAAGCAAACACCTCCGAGAGTAGTTGAGTGCTGATTATTTGTCGCACATACAAAGATATGTTATCTCGGTCCGGGGACTCTGAGAATTCAACACATTTCAACATGCACAGCTTCTCTTTTATTTTATGCCGATTCTTTGGCGTAGCTGTTGCAGTTAATGCAAAAAGTGGTATTCCTGGCACCAATGATCTTATTTCACCAAGATTTCCAAACCATTGTCTAAAAGGTTCCTGTCCTCCAGTTGAGACGCCCCTGAAAACCATAGAAAATATTATTCATTTGATGTGTCTACAACATAATTCTAATGCAGTTCACGAAACGAAGGGACACAATTCAAGAAGGGACCATACTATATACATTTTAACAATAATTAAAAGTGTTACCGTACCACTGCATTACAGTGTGAGCCTCATCAACTACGATCAGTTTTAAGTTGTCACTGTAAACCTTTGACTTCAACATTTCACGCCATCTGTCATTGCCCAGTATTGATTCAGGGTTAGTGTAGATAAAAGAATATTTTCCTTCCAATATATCTTGATTCTGAGACACATCCATGCCGATAAACGTGGCACTGAACCCAAGCGCCTGTAACATTTCCACTTGCTCCCTCATGATTGAAATCAGTGGTGAAATGATCAGAACAATGGGTTCCGTACAACGCTGCCGCTCTCGTAAAATTGTCGGCATTGCTTGGTAGCATAGCGACTTTCCACTGCTTGTTCTTGTTGAAAGAAACACATCTTCGCCCTTTAACAGGTGTTTGATCACTTTTATTTGATGTTCGTAAAGCGCATCGATGCCAAAAAGTTCACCAATGTGTTTCATTTCTGCATCAAGAAGTTCGTCCGCCATGTTGAAACACGTTTTGAGACGATTGATTTAATTGGTTCCTTCCATTTTCATCAAAAATGAAAGGGAAGGCGCTGATTGGTTCTTTCACAGAGCTTTTAAATACAGAAATAGACGCGTATTTTACCACGGTCTCGCTGTGTAGGCTTGCCGTAAAAGAGGCCGTGGCGTACGACGATGATGACAAGAGGAATGTTTTTAATTTCACTAATATAAATTGTCCACACCTTCACAGAAATATTCCATTCTCTCCTACATATGGGTATGTATTTCCAACTCATGTACAAGAGCATGACTAAAAATGCCATCAAAGTCACATTTGTACAAGCCCTCCCCTAATGTTGGTGTCCAAGCCTTATAGCTTGGCAGAAGTTTGGTGAAAGTTGAACTAGGAACAGCAATGACGTAAGGATGTGATGATGTAATCTTCTGTGCATGTAATTCCAGTCCTAGAGGAAGTGATATGAATGCCATGGGTTTGCTCCAGTCACATACATGACAACAAAGAAGCCATGGTGACAGACATAGTAACAATAACAAACAACAAATAACAAAAGCATGACATTCCAGTTCAATGATCTATTCAAAGCTGCATTATTTCCAGTCTGTTGCCAGAAGACGATTGCTTTATCATTGAACAATATTGAAGATGCTTCATCATGAGTTGTCTCGCTTCGCTTAACAAACAAAATGGCGCCGCCCATTGACCAGAAGTGCACGTTTTTCAAACTCTTAGGGTGCATCTTAGGGTACTTCTTCCATACTCTTCTATACACATGTTACCTATAGAGCTCGCTATTTTATACATGTAATTTTCAGAGTTTCAAAAAATGATGTTTGCTATGAAATATGCTCATAAACATTTATCGTTGAACACTGTGAGTTTACTAGTTTAGTGACGCATAATTTGAAATGTTCATGTTATTGTTTTAAGAGTCGAGTCATACTGCAAAATACATTCATCATACTGCAAAATACATTCATCTGTATTGACAGTCCAATTGACCATTTTCCGTACACTGCGAGAATCACGCGTTATGCGTGAAATCGAACTAAAAACAGGACAAACAAAGGTCATAGCGCCGTAGTCGCGTCAAACATCGCGTGGGATTCGACAAACGCGAAAGTATTTCGGGGACACTTCCATGCTTAATAATGTGCTGTCCACATTTGATGATAGGCAATTTCGATTAAGTGAGGGTATTCGGAAGCAATATTCCTCTGTCGAAGATCGGCCGGTCAATGTAAGCTGCGAAATAAAGAATTCTAGTTCAAAATCAAATCGTTCGATTTTTGCAGCAGACGTTCGACGCGCGTCTTTCATGCATCTCGCGAGATCTCGCAATTGTTCGGAAAATCACCAATTCTTCTACCCAGTGATAATAGACACAAGCTACTGACCTGTGATATTACTCTGATGCTGAACAGAAACATAACCTGTAATTCTATCTGGTCACAGTAGTGAGTTAACGCGAGTTAACAATTATTAGTAATTTTTAGGTCATTAGTCATTTTTTTAATAAATGATACAATTTTAGACATGTAAATTGTCAATACAATTAATACTGAAGGTGAAATGAGTTAGTTGCAATGTATGTTTACTGAAAATTGAATGGTGAATTGAATATTGATCATTAAAAGACCCCCTCATAGATTAAGACTGGGTGTAATATCACGTGTTCTTACTTTTCTGCCAGTATCGCTAATCACTAATCCTCACTCATCGAAATATCGATTTTCTTTTATCATTCTGGACATTGTCAATATTCGTCTTTTCAAGCCTGTGACTTTGAAAGACTGGATATTCAGGACAGAATATTGTCTATCCCTATAAGTATATATAATTGCAGTACATCTCATTTTTATTATAAACAATTAGTTCATGCTATTATTGTTGATTTGTCATTATAAAGCTGCAGGTGATCTAACTTTTTGTTGTGGCAAGACATTCTGATCGATTGTCAAATTATCCAGAGTTAGCGGGACCAGCGCAATATAAACGTGACCTTGATAATGGGATTGTTTTTTCCAGTGTGTTCAAATAATAGAAGCTGACATTTTTTGACTAACGTTATGTAATTTAAACACAAGATAAAAGTATTAGATGGATTACAAGTAGTTAATAGTAGTTAATATGGGCAAATGATTTGCTTGAGCCATTGGTAAATTTGGAATTGATTTTGCTGTGACAATGTATACATGTATGAACAATTATGTGAATATGGTGTTGTGTGTTATAGGAAGTAGGTGATGTCTCAAGTCTCTGGTTATGTCATTTGAATCAAGAGGGGGAGGTTAAAGTACTTGATCGGAAAGAATAATTATATTTATTCTTTGGAAGTGAATGGCTTATTTGTACTTGACTGTGACCCACCCACCACTCGAGTGTAATTAGGCCAGCTGCTATTATACATCACTAGCATGACTAGTTGGAAGACAAACCATGTAAAAATAATGTGAATAAAATAAACATCTCTAATAAACAAGGAAGTAATCATGGTGCAAAAACACCACCGACAACCAATTTGGTAGTAGTCATATTG